TTGTGCCACAATCTATGCTCACTTCTCCTAAAAATGGCCAACTTTGTCACCACATTGTTTATGCTTGGATTGTGTTTCATGTATAATACTATCTACAATGTGAAACTTATGGCACAGGGAAGTGTAATGGGAGAAACAACTAGGTTCTACGATTTTAAGGTATGTTGTGTTAAATCCTATCATATATGTAGCAATATCGTGTCCTGTGTTTTTGACATAATCGGTATCAGAGTGTCTCTGTCGTGTCGGAGTCTATGTTTGATGGCTATCTTTCTCTATATTTGTTGATGAGCTTATTGGTTATTGTACAGGTTCAAACTAAAAGAGTTACGAAACTTTGCAACTCGAAAGAAATTGTTACCGTCAATGGTATGTATCCAGGACCTGTAGTTTATGCAGAAGAAGATGATAGAATCATAGTCAAGGTTACCAATAAGACACCTTTCAATGTTACCATTCACTGGTAATCTCAATCACAGCCTCATAAACTAACTTAACTAGCAAATTTTTTTAACTAACAAACTTGAGTTTCAAATTTCAAAAGGCACGGTATCCGGCAAAAGCTATCGTGCTGGTACGATGGACCGTCCTTTATTACACAGTGTCCAATTCAAGCAGGCCAGAGTTTCACCTATAATTTTACAGTGGTGAATCAGAAGGGAACGTTCTTCTGGCATGCTCATGTTTCTTGGCTAAGAGGAACAGTTCATGGAGCTATGATTGTTTATCCAAAGAATAGGGTACCTTTCCCATTTAAGAATCCTTATCAAGAGCAAATAATCATACTAGGTAACTAACTTACAAGATGGCTTCTTTGGTTTGAATTCACGGTTTGAATTCACGTATGTTTTCTTTGTATAACGCTGACGTTGCGAGCGGATTCGAACTATGGCAGGGGAATACTGGCTGCAGGATCTCCAACAAGTTGAGAATGCTACTCTGGTGAGTGGAGGTGCTCCGCCTCCGGCAGATGCATATACCATTAACAGTCATCCAGGCCCCAACTATAACTGCTCCATTACCGGTACTTTTTGAGATAAAAGAAGATGACAACTAACAAATAATAGTGAAAACAAACACTGATTTCATTGATATGTTTCGTTTCTCGTTTTTCAGATGTGTACCAACTTAATGTGATTCCAGGAAGGACCTACTTGTTAAGACTGATTAATGCGGGTTTAAACACCGAGAACTTCTTTGCCATTGCTAATCACAAACTAAAGATCGTGGAAGCTGATGGTGAATACACGAAGCCATTCACCACAAACACGGTGGTGCTTGGACCGGGCCAAACACTAAATGTCCTAGTCTCGGCTGATCAACCAGTAGGAAAATACTCCATGGAAGTGGCACCTTACAGGTCTGGCAGGATTGTCAAATATCAAAACGTTTCGGCGATTGCCTACTTCAACTATAAAGGGGCCGTATCTAACGGCTCATGTTTACCAGCTAAATTACCTAAGCTTGACGATAAGCTAGCTGTTAAGACAGTCATGGATGGATTAAGGAGCCTAAATCAAGTGAATGTTTTCAAAGAAATTGATAAAAACATATTCATCACCGTTGGATTGAATGTTCAAAAATGTCACTCAAAGACACCAAAGCAAAACTGTCAAGCCTTGAATAATGGCGTGCTGAAAGCTTCCATGAACAATATAAGTTTCGTTCATCCTCGTATATCAATCCTGGAAGCTTATTATAATAAAGTAAATGGATCATATACTGAAGATTTCCCCGACGCACCCTCTAAGTTCTACGACTTCGTTAATGGTGCCCCAAATAACATTCCATATGACACAGAGTCGTTGAATGGGACTAGAACTAAGGTCCTAGAATACGGTACCAAGGTGCAACTTATTTTGCAGAACACAGGGACAGTCAACATTGAAAATCACCCAATTCACATCCATGGCTACAGCTTTTATGTTGTAGGGTATGGGGCCGGAAACTATAATCCACTAACTGCACAATTCAATTTAGTGGATCCCCCGTACATGAATACAATCGGTGTTCCAGTTGGTGGATGGGCAGCTGTCCGTTTCGTCGCTGATAATCCAGGTATACACTTAAACGTACATTTCGGTTTTCTATATTTTTCTCGAAAATTTAACAAATTAACACTAAAGGCCATTTGCACTCGGTTTTGCAGGTGTGTGGTACATGCACTGCCACATTGATATACATCAATCATGGGGACTTGGAATGGTATTTATAGTGAAGGATGGAAAAGGAGATCTAGAGTCCCTACCACATCCCCCATCAGACCTGCCAATATGTTAAAGACTATCAACAGATCAAAACAAATAGTGCTAACAGATAATTGTGTGACCTTTTTTCGAGTTTGAGCATTCTTTAGATCCGAATCTGTAGCTGTAAAATGTGGCACTAGTGCATTTCTTCTAAAAGAAAATTTATGGATGTAAAGAAGCAAAATGAATAGATGAATGCAAATCTCTTTTTCCTTGTTTTTTTGGTATGGTAAAAGTTTAGGCGATGAATGCAAATCCTTTTTTCCTTGTTTTTTCGGTACGGGAAAAGTTCAGGCGAGTTCTGTCTCGGGAGCTCCCTGGGGTCATGGAAAGCTTTAAGACTCAGAAAGTGAAATTGCTTCGTCGGTAACCTGGAATTTCATGTGTACTTTGTTTTTTTGTCGTATTTTTGGTATTTTTGAATTATCGATTATTTGTAATTTGATTGTATTGTTCATTTGTAATTTGATTTTTCATTTATCGGAGAAATGTACCAATGTACCTTGAAGTATCCCTTTCACTCACTTAGGTTGAAACCATTGCAATGTTTTTTGTTTTGAGCAATTTGGTCAAAGTCAATCATGCATGCCTTAAATCACAAGTTAGAAGTTTTAAAATAAAGTGTTTTTTAAACATGATTTGAATTGCAACTTTGGCTAATTTAAATCAAGAACAAAAGAAAATTTTGGAATTTGGCACTGGAAGTGTGATTCGAATCTAGGTTTTGTCTTATTCGAATGAAAAACACCTTGACGTGAATCACAAATATGGTTGACTCGAATCATGACTAAATGAACTCTTTTGAAAATCACCTCTAGTTGTGTGATTCAAATCATATAACTACTTGATTCGAATCATATGATAAAATCATGATCCGAATCAAACAAGGCAAACTCTGAATTTATCACATTGATTCAAGTCACTCTTTCATCTTATTCAAATTATAATTGTAGGATCTGACTCGAATCAATTGCTTAATTTTTCACCTATTTTGTGTTTCGCCTCTAGCACATATATAAATCATTTTTGTCATTCTCCAAATGATGATGATGAGAATACATCCAACACATGTGAGTTTTAGAAAAACCATGAGTGTTATTTCTTTCACAAACACCTTCTCTCTCAAGTTAATCCTAGAGAAAAACTTAATAAAATGTTGATTGAGTGGGTTCTTAAAAGCTGTTGTATGAGATTCTTTGGATAACCAATCATCTTCACCCTTGAACCAAAAACTCCATTATTGTGGTACTCAACTCTAAAGATTGAATGTGAGTGGTAATTACAAGGCACATTAGAGAATCTAATATTTTTTGTGAAGCTTTTTTCCCTAATGTTTTTTGTGAAGCTTTTTGTGTGTATCAGGTTAAAGAATCCGTTTGTGATTATGGTGTCTGGAGCTAGCAAGGAAAAAGATTAATTTTCTTCAAAAAATTTCGATAAAATTGAGTGAAGACCACTGCGGACAAAGTTTCAGAGTTCCTAAGATCCTTCCGTAGAACAAAGACTCATACAAAGGAATTCCGATAGGGTTGAGGGAAGAGTGTTGCAAACGGAATCTAGGAGTAAAACTTTGGTTCTAGGAAGGTGACGATCTCAAGATCGAGTGAAGATCTTGTGGATTTGGCAAGTTTTTAATGATCTGCCTACAACAAAAGGGAAATATAGATTCAGACCTATGTTTGCTTAGCTTTTTGGCTTGAAGTGTTCAATGTTGTCTTGATTGTCCGTTGTAACAAAAACTCTTGTATATTAATTTGCAAAATAGTGGGAAACCTAACAAATTTTCAATTATTCGTCATTGAAGACTGGACTAAACGCTAGTGGGGACGAATGCATTGAACCAATATAAATCTAGTGTATATTTTCTCTTTCCCTTCTCTTTTAAATTTCAGTATAGATTTGTATGACCTTAAGTTTTATTGCTTTCTAGAATCACATGGTGTTAAGTTTTTTATCTGCTAATAGTGATTTATGTGTAAGTGTAGGACGCAGGTCTATGATAGATTTAGTCTTTTAAATCTTCGCTCTGGTGATTATAACTGTATAGACTCTTAATATTAGATTGATTGTTCGATTAATAAGATTCAATTTAAACATCATGTGTAAATTGAATTCAGCTAACTTATGCATAGATTGTTTAAGCATCATCATCTTCTAGACATCGTATTTTTCTGATATTCTGAGTAAATCATGAAATCAATTCAAGCGCATCTTTTACAAAATTTTGCTGCCACACTGTTTGTAAAACTCTTATTTTGAAACCCCTCTCTCTTGTAGACCATTTGACACTTATATTCTCCTCTAAGAGAAAGCACTGACAGAGGTACTTTCATATTATCCACAATGAGGTCCTCATATCGGTAGCGAAAACTCATGTGGGATCTGAGTTTCTGACCTGAATCCTTACCAATTGGATTGGACTTACCTACATTGTCGGATCTCTTTTCCTTTAGTTTAATTTCTGTGTACTAATTCATCGAAGTTCTAAACTAAACTGAAACATATTGATATTATTGGAAATCAAAGTGATAAAGTATGACTCCAGTAAGATGTGCATATATTAAGATGTCATAGGTTTACATCGAACAGGTACAACACTCAATTGCTCGGAAAGTAATGCAGCATGAAAGCTGACACAGTGACTCGTTAAATAAAAATCTTACCAGCACACTCCAGTCAATTCTCTCTCTGATACTCTAAGAACACGCAATTAGTTGATTGCGATGAAACCTACATCTGACAGATAAGAAATCATGGGTTGACCCTCTCGGCAATCCAGTTTTTCTTTGCTTCCGCGCTCAAACTTGATCTGAATGTTAGCCTCTGGTTACTCTTTAGATTCAAGTAATCAACCTGTAAATGGTTGAAACCATAGTGAATATGCGAAAGAGAAAAAACGTGTATTTTAAGTAAAAGAGGCATCAGTACCTCGTCTGGTTCTAGAATCAGAAGACAAAAAGCATCAACTGGCCCTATAGAAGGATCCAACAATATTTCTGTTTGTGCTTGTTCATTTAGACACGGAAGCCCTGGGTTGGGCCACAAATATTGCGCCCGTGATCTCACGGAACCGGAAAACCACGACTTTTCTCTTTGCTGCATTATGAATCGATAAACAGATGGGAATTGCTCTAATCGATGACAAACAGAATGTGATTCAAATTCAATCATAACTGAAAACCTCTAAATCAAACCTGAAGTTTAAGCGGATCAGGATTCGTCGCATCGATAATATCTACATGCCCATTTATCCGAAACTGCTCCCACGAATCTGTGAAATACCAACATATCTAACCACAAAAACCACACTTAGTCTCAAAACCTAAGCCCTCATTTTTCATTGTTATCAAAAAGAAGCTAATCACCTCAGCAAAGGAACAAAGCTTAAGCTCTTCAATCTGTACTACAAACAAGACAAAAAGTAATTAACTTTTCAATGAAAAATCTCATTCATGCACCAAATTTCAAAACTTTCACGAACAAAATTACAAACAAATGAAAACCCAGTTTTTATATTTCCAACATCGAATTTCTGTTACAGAATTTGATCAAAAACAACACCTTGCGAGTTCGGGTATCGGTGTTAATCAAGATATTATCGGTGTTGTCTTGGAATCCTCTGAAAATTCAAAACAATGAATAACATGTGGTGAGTTTGGGTTAAACCAAAGAGTGGAACGACAAAGAGAAGAACAGAACCTGAAAACGACAGTGCGATTCGAAGGTTTTCCGTTGGGTCCTATGGTTGCCTGAAACACAGATAAAATAAATAAATAAAAATTAATTGAAAATGAATAAGAAGATAAAGAAGAAGAAAAGAGTTACGAGTTGCATGTAAGAAGAGTGTTTGAGATGAGTGTTGGATTCCAGAGCATTGAGAAGAAGCTGCTTCCATGCTATGCTGCTCCCCATTCCCAATTTTTTGGGATGCCTTCTGATTTTTCTTCTAAAAAATTACACTGTTTTAAAAAGTTTTTTTTTTCTTTCTCCAATTAGTTAGTATTCCATTCTATTTAGTTTTGTGGATTTAATGTCAAATTTCTAAAGTCAACTTTCTAACTAACCAAATAACTCCATGTTTATTGTTCATCTGTTAACCTAATTTTTGAATTTGAGGATTTTCATTACGAAGGAATCCATTGTTTCAGGGAAGTTTTTGGATTTTTCTGCAGAAGAAGGTACAAAAAAGAAGGTTAACGAGGAGAATATGGTTATCCTAAGTAGGGCTGGACAAAAAAAATTTAACCGGCCGATCCACGAGACCCGCACATGCACGATTTAGATTGGGTTGGTTTTCAGTTTAGCAAATTAGTAATGGTTGGGTTTACATGGGTTTAAGTGGTTGGGTTTACATGGGTTTAAGTGGTTGGTTTCGGATGACTGAATTGAACCCAAAGAAAACCAAAATCGACCGGTCCAATTATTTATTTTATTTGATTACTAGTTTATGATAGACTGGGTCACTTGTATACACTTATCTTTCTAGGGTTTTCATTTGTTCAATTCTCACTTCTCTTCGCATCAAAACACACTCAGTTCTCTCTTCATGGTCTTTTAAATCTTCATCCTCGAGTTCACCACTGCCGACACACACCACTGCGTCATTACCAATCATGTAAGTTTTGTTCTCTCGTCCTTATTCTCTGTTTGTTTCTCCTTTTCTCTCTCAGACAACACAAAGCTTCCATTTTTATGCTATCTATTTCAAACCCACAAAATTCAAATGGGCAAATCTTGTTTTTTAACACTATAGAATCTTTGTTCTAGATGGTTGAGGTAGAATGACAAAACTTGTTGAATAGATTAGGATATAAAAAATATTTGGTCATGTTTATGATAACCTGCGTGTTTATTGAATGAATATGTGTTTTTCAAACTTAAAATTTGTTTATTTTTATTTCTAGTATGTATTGTTTTCATATTTTATCACTTGACTCTCATTTGTTTTTCTGTACTTGAACAAATTTTAGTGTTTTGATGCATGAGTGTTTGTTTATGAAAGATTGGAAATCATGGCAATTCTACAAACACGCAGGAATGTAAAAATGTTGGAAAATAAGGTAAGTAAATAAGGTTAGTTACCTTTATTTTATTTATTTTTTTTCATTTTTCTTAAGACTAATTGCATTTAAGACTCATCTTAAATTTCTTAGTCCTCAAACATTATAGTTATATATCAATTATGAAACATAATATTAAAAGTTATTTCTTCTTAGACATATTTTCAACATAAATTCTTTCTTCTTTATGTTAAATAGATTTCATTATTATTATTATTTTTGAAAATAAGTGTAAAGAAAAAGGACGGTTGTGTTTAGAGTATCTGAAATGTTGATAAAATAAAGATTGAACTTTGAGAGACCCTACCCAACAGGCCCGCATGTTTCCGGGTCGGGTGAGTCGGATTTTCGGGTGACCAGATTAATAAAATCTGGAATGTATTTTCACTTGAAGTGTTTTATATTTTTCTTATGATTTCAAGCCCTATATTTATTGGTTTCTTGGTTATATTTTTTCTCAGATCTTGACTCAGGACGGCATCAGGGAGTTAAATTAAAGGTAATTATTTTGTATTGAAAATCAATTTTTTTTCTGTATTGAAAAAATGCAATACATAGATTACGAGTTTGCTGCATCTATAAGATATACATGTATTATTCGTTTACAAAAAGGATGATCCTTTTTTGAAACTACAAAACATTTATCTTAAGCTTTGATTTGTTCATGCTATTTTTTCTTATTGTTTGATTTGTTTTGATTATTAGGAGATGGAACATGGAAAAGGGAACTTGCAAGGAAATGAAGAAGGAAGCTTGCAAGGAGTTGAAGAAGGGAGCTTGCAAGGTGCTGAAAATGCTAGTTTGCAAGGCTTGAGTCAAGGTATGTGTTTGTGCTTAAAAGTTTTACCTTGGTAGTATGTCTAGGTATGACATGATAAGTTATATGTGTAACACCCCAAATTTAATCGAAATATTTTAATTTATTTATTTAATTGAGAATATTTGTATTTTGGTGTTTTGGGTGTTTTCGGTGGTTTTGGGAATTACTGAGAAAATGTGCATGTTGAACTATTTATTTAATTAATAGTATACTATATGAGAATACTAGTATTACTATTGATTAAAATGAATATAAGAGAAATAAGGGTAAATTGGGCAGTATGAAGAGTTAGTAAGGATGTTATGGGAAAAGCCCAATTTGTGAGGCCCAAGACTAAGTTAGACAAAATTGAGTTCTGAAGGGGAATCAGATTTCATTTTGTGTTTAACGTGAAAGTTCGTGGCCAGAGCTCTGAAGGAAAGGCTGGAAGCAGAAGATCCCAAAGATTAATCGTGAAAGTTGCGAATCGACTAAGGTATGGGGAGTATCGCATTTCATGATTTTCCATGTATGCCTTTCGGTGTGTTTATGGTTGATTTAAGATTTAAGGTATTTTGGGTTGGTTGTGGGAAAATAGGGAAATTAGTGATAAGGCTTTGAGGTTATGGTTAATGGTATGTAACACTGAATATTGATATGAGAAAGGAAACCTTAGGCCTTTGTGGCCAAAACCTTAGATCGTTATATGTCTGCCCATATGGGATAGAATATTTGATATTTGAAATTACGATGCCTTCGGAGCAATTGTAAGGAAATTGACGGTAGACCCTGGAGGTTAGTGGTTAGTATTCTTGACCCTTTGAGTGTGGAGATGAGAAATAATGATTTTTGCCTTCGTGGTCAAAACCTTGGATTGTGATATGTTTGACCCTGTAGGAATAGGAATGTTCATATGTGAGTAACTCTGATGCACTCAGAGCAATTGTAGGAAAATAGTGATTTAGGCAGTGCAAATGTTGCCGGATTGGCCTAATAAACCGTAGGTTTTGTGCCTTTATTGCCGTAAGACCTTAGGGATGATTTAGGGATGTTTTGGGAGCACTAAGGAAGTGAATCGTGTGGACTTTTGGGTTGATTTAGGTTCCGGAGCGTAACAGCGTCTTGTTGTTTGTCACGACTGTTCATGTTTTTGGTCGAAATTGTTTTGGACGTAACTTTTGATCCGTAAGTCCGTTTTGACCCCCGTTCGAAGCGTTGGAAAGCTAATAAACAGGGATATAACATAGTATAGATAATGGATTTGTTTTCCCAATATTTTTATATCTAATTATGTTTGATAAGTCAATTGGGTATATGTTCTAGTAACGAATCATGTTCTGGTTCAGTGATGTCTTGATGCTGCGATTTTCCTAATGAATTACCATGGAGGTAACTGTGATAATATGATGAATTAATATGAGTAGGAATGTGAAGTTTATGTGATTGATGGGCGATAGTGTGAGGATTATCGCGAGTATAATTTGATAAATTAATATGAGATAATATGGGGTAGTATTATGAACTAATATGGGATAATATGTGATAATATGACTATGAGCTAATATGTGATTTGTACGTGATTATATGATGACATGATGTGTGAGATTAATTATTATGATGAATTATGATGATATGATGTTTGATGAATTATGATGACTTATGTGATGATGATGATTATTATGATGAATTATGTGATAACATGAGATATGATGATTTATGTGATGACGATGATTATTATGATGAGTTATGTGAGATACGATGATTTATGTGGTGATGATGATTATTATGATGAGCTATGAAGTATGAAGATGATTATTATAACAAGTTATGATGACGTAACGTACGATGATGACTGTGTTGATGAGCTATGACGTTTGATGATGATGAATATGATGAATATGACGAATATGATGAATATGATGAATATGACGAATATGATGAATGATGATGCACCTATGATGTTATTATAAGGATGATTTGTGACGTGTGCATCATGCATTCATGTGCATCCGGACTTCGGTTCAGGACCTCGATTACTTTGGCTTCAATCCCACTGTGTGGATGTGAAGTAGTTTGATGTGCTCCGATTCCATTGATGGGGATCTATAGAGGGTTGATGGCCCAGTGTCCATCGTGCTGTGATGATTGGTACCACATGCATTGAGTTGTGTCGCATTGCATCTATGAGTCTTTTTATATGAATTATGACGTTGTGGCCTTTGAGGCATATTTGAAGGATATCAATGTGTTGAATATAATTATGAGTAATATGTCGTTTATGCATTAATTGTTATACATTGATTATTATGAATTGTTTTACTCACCCTGCCTGTTTGAATGTTACCTCCATGTGGGTAACGTGCAGATGACCGAATTAGCCATGGACGCCGTTGAGGACTTTTGAAGTCTTAGAGTTGTTAGCCTTTTGGGTTAACTTAGAGGGTCTTGCTCTGATATGTAACATTGGGTTGGGTTCTTTGAGTTGATTGTATATCATTGGGTTATTTTACTGGTGTTCCCTTATGAGGAAAACATTGAGTTATGTTTTGAGTTCCGCTGTATATGATGTTTTGATGTATTTTGCAAAAACTCGTGTGTTACGGAGTATTGACCAATTTTGTTGACTTTGAGAAATGTACGCCCTTTGTGGCTTTTTAATGAAAGTTAATATTTTACTCTGAAATCCGTGTTATTTTGTCGTAATATCTGTGGGGTAGAATAAGGGTGTTACAATATGGCGTGTAATGTATTGCTGGTTGTTTGTGTGAGTGACATGAAATTTGGTCTTTGTTTATTTATAAGTATGTATCTATATTACTATATTACTTTAAGTTATTTAATATGCTTTGTATGTTATGTATCTGATTGTTTTAGTTTACCAAAATATAGTATTGATTGTTATTACTAGTACTGATTGTTTAGTTTATGTTTTATATTATTAGTTGTTGTTTAGTATGTCAAAATATATGATTGATTCTTTTAGCTTACCCAAATATTTTCAGTGCCGAAACATCCTGTTTCCCATGCTGAACCTACACAAGTAGAATCTGCAC